ATGTGATTTTAAATAGGTATATGTGCCTAAATCTAAACATATATTTTCTAAGTAGGCATTTGATTTGTTCACCTACATACCTAAAAGTAAATGTATTTTCAACTTGACTGAAAAACTTTTTTTGGACTTTTTAATGGTGAAATTTTGATATTTGGGATTACCTTAGAGTTGGGCAATATGGTATATGCTAAATTTCAATAAAGTAAAACTGGTTCACAAAACTAGCCTACTGACCACTTAACCAAAGGGACAGAGGCATAAGAAACTGGGAAGTTTGATCATATTTACTGATTTGTTCTACCTCCACTTACTAATCTTTCAGAGCCTATAACTGTTGAAGCAAGTCAACAGGAGGCCAGGATTCTTTCCAGGAACCCTGCCAGTCCCTGCCAGGATCTGTGGTGGCCCACTGCCCACACAGAAGCCAGCAGCCAGCCTGCCTCTCACCAACCTGATGGGGCCCTCCCACCCACCTCACACCCAACCTGCTCCCTCCATTCCTGGTAAGCTGTCTTCCTCACTGTGCCCACGTAAGCCTGCGTCCTCCTTCATGACGCTCCTCCTCCTGGAACGGCTGTCCCCAACTCCACCCTTTCCAACCCCATCCCAGTTCCACGTTCTCCATGAAGTCACCCTGACACCTTGGCCACATAGATGGCTCTTCCACTTCCTGAAATCCTCGTGCAACACTGTCATAATTTAGCACCCTGAATGCTTCAGGCATATTCTTTTTCTTTTTCTCTCTAAGAGAAAAGAATTTTGAGGGCAGGGACCAAAACTAATGATTCTTTTATATTTCCCCTGGAGTTCACTGCCATTTGACTGAATGCTGTCTAAAGACATCATGCCATTTCAAGTGGAGGATGCTTCTGCCCCTGTTGAAGGGCAAACTAAAAGAAAAGCAGGGCTAGGCGCGGTGGCTCACACCTGTAATCCTAGCACTCTGAGAGGCCGAGGCCAGAGGATTGCTTGAGCTCAGGAGTTCAAGACCAGCCTGAGCAAGAGTGAGACCCCATCTCTACTAAAAATAGAAAAACTAGCCAGCATTGTGGCACATGCCTGTAGTCCCAGCTACTCGGGAGACTGAGGCAAGAGGATTGCTTGAGCCCAGAAGTTTGAGGTTGCAGTGAACTACGATGACACCACAGCACTCTACCCAGAGCAACAGAGCGAGACTCTGTCTCAAAAGAAATGAAAAGAAAAGAAAAGCAGGAGCAGCATTTTTTGTAAACAACTATTTTTAGCAAGCCTGCTACCTCTGAGACTACCAGTATTAACCTACTGGCCTGAATCACAGTGTTTGCAATGGGGTGACTCCAGATGGCACAGTGAGGAGGGAAGGCACTAAAAATGCGACCACATCTTGCTTTCTAGTGTCATAAAAGGCCCTTCCTGCATCAAATCCATCCGCAAAACAGCTTATCAAGGTAGAGATCTTCAAAAAATATCCAGAAGCTGACCATTCCTCCACTACTGTCACTCTCAGTTAAACCACCCTCACCTCTCACGTAGGATACTGGAATAGCCTCTGAACTGGCTTCCCTGCATCCATCCTCAACTCCCCACAATCTACTCTTGACAGTAACCTAAATGAGCCTGTTAAAATGCTAGTCAGATTATGTCACTCCCTGCTGAAAACCCTATGATCATGCATCAGTCTGAGTCTGGCAGGAAACAGATGGCACAAAGTGGGTGATTTGAGGGGAGTTTGTAAAGTAACTATTTACAAAGGTGAGAGCAGGTACAAAGAAACCACAAGGTAAAGTGCAGTATCTGGAGCTGGTAACTCAGGGGTATCTGGCCCCTCCTAGACCTGAAGGTGTGAAGAAGAGTGGAGAGGGAGATCAGGGCTTGGCACCTGATAGGAAACTCCAGTGGGAGGGAAGAAATACACCAATAGCATTCTTCTCCCTCTCTCTCACCCCCTAGCAATACTTCCCAAGGCCAAATACAACCAGCAGCCATAAGGCAAGGGAGCCTGTCAGTGCAGGGCCACCTCCTGGGACACATCTACAGGGCAGGGTGGAAAAGGGTCAAATGAATCGGGGGCAGTAAATGGAAGGTATCCAGCCAATGGTTCCCCAATTCAATCAGGGTATTTTAAAGTACTTCCAAGGGCCGATACAGCCCTACACGATCTGAGCCCATCTCCTATTCTCCTGTTTGCTAACCTCTCTGCTCACCAGGCATACTCCTGCCTCAGGGCTTGCTGCTTTCTCTGCCCAAAATACTCTTCTGCCAGGTCCACACATGCCTTGCTCCCCTCTTCAGGTCTCAGATCAACTGTGGCCTCATCAGAGGTTTTCCCTCGTCACCTACGTGATAACTTCCCCTGCTCCCACCCTACCCATTCCTGGCACCCCCATCCCCTCTCTTCTTCTTTATCTTTTTCTACAGCACTTCTAATTAGCATTTTTATATACATACAGATATTTTTCTTTTTTAATTGACTGCCCCCCTGGCCTAGAACAAAAGTTTCACAAAGGCATTGACTTGGCCTCTTTTGTTCACTGACTTATGCTGAGCACCTAGAACAGTGCCTGACACATAGAAGGCACTCGAGTATCTGTTGAATGAATGAAAATCAATGAATGGTAGAAGGATCCATAGCTAAGGGTTTTTTCCACTGTTTATGGGTTTAATTCCTATCATCAAATTATTGTTTAACAAATAAAGTCTCCTGATAATCAGACAGGAAGCAGGTGACGAGTATTTGTTTTTATTGGCAATGGCACAAAATTGAGTTGTCAGTAAATGGAAGCTTCAATCAAAACCAAAAGAATGAGAGTAGCATCCTCTGTAAACAACTCCTCCTAGCAAGGTTGTTATTTCTGATGAATGTACCATCATTAACCAACCAACCTGATACATCTCTAAGCCTCAGTCTTCTTATCCATAAAATGTATAAGAATTGCATGATACAATGTATGGAGAGCATTTAGCACTGCACTGGGGCTCAATAAACAGCCACTAAGATCTGTAGTCCCCTACCTCCGGGCCGTGGACCAGTACCAGTCCGGGCCCTGTTAGGAACCAGGCCACAAAGCTCCACCTACCCCAGTCCCATTCCTGGTTCCATGGAAAAATTGTCTTCCATGAAACCAGTCCCTGGTGCCACAAAGGTTGGGGACCACTAAGATGATAATTAAAATAGTGAGGCAGCCATGAGAATGATATATACCACATTATCTTCCTGTTTGTCCCAGACTCTTAAAACGTGAGCTGGAATAACGACATGGAAAAGAAATATTAATATAAGATGCTCTACTGTCTACCATACCATTGGGCCTAGATTTGAAAATTACTCTATAATACCAATATTTCACATCAGAACCTAACATCCACTCCTGGCCCTGGCCTTGCCCAAATGAGAACTTTGTTGTATCCCCTTTTGTGTCACTCATTATGGGTAAGGAACTTAGAACATAAATGCTGGTGTTTTCCTGGTCAGAACTAAGTATGTAGAAACTTTGGTACTCTACCAAGGAAAAAAAAAAGAGAGAGCACACGCATATCAGAAAAGCTCCTGATAATGTTCCTGTTTTTGACTTGCCTAACTGTGGAAGTTTGTGTTTTAGTCTCTAAATTAACAGTTCAACCTGTGATTCCCTTTTCTCCAAGAGAATCCTATCCGTACCCTTATCTGCTGCGTCAATTAACTGCATAAAAGGTGATCCCATAGTCTAAGGTCAGATTAAAAAGAAAAAGACTTGACCTGAATAAACTGAACAATCCATCAGTAAGGAATACTGCAAAGATTCTGTAGGTTTTTCACTGATGTGAGATTTCTTTGCAATCTCCTGCAGTCAGACTTCTGTAGGACACGATGCTGGACTAACCAACCTGGGAAGCTAGATTCATAAGGTAAGGATTTCCTTTGCCACTTTAAAATCCATGAAATATAAATCTCCAGTTAAAATAGTCTCTCTGCTATTTCGTGAATAACCAGGTATTAGAGCCCTTATTTTTGTTATAAATTTGTATTTAAATCATAACTGTATAATACAGTAATTATTGCTATTAATTTTGCCTAAAAAGAGGCTTCCAACTTCAGGTATGAAAAACAAAGCAGGTCCCTCCAAGGTTAAGCCTGAAGACTGATCTCACTTATTAAGAGATCTTATTTTAGTAAGCAGCCGGATGCTTATTTATTAGTGCTAAAAAGAATCATCCTAACCGCTTCTCCTTGTGACAGATGGGTAAACAATTCTGTAATAACTATCTTGGGAAGAATTCCAACCGGAGAATGAGAAGAAAAACAAAACTATAGTTCACTATTCACTCTCCAAACACTTTCCAAAATGATAGGTTCAATCCTACTTCTAGGCCTTAGCGAATGATAAGTATTCCAAAATTCATCTTTTTATTAGAGCACTTTCCAAACTGTATTGTTTTCCTGCCTGTTTTCTCCAACCAGGCTCCCCGGTCAGGGTCTGTTTTACTTCCTTGTATTTCCAGCGTGAAATACTGTGTCCGACACATAGCTAGTGTTCAAATGACTACCAAAATGCTCACCCACGAGGCAAGCCCCAAACCTAGCACTGTAGGTCAGAAATGAACAGACTGTGAAATGGCATGACTGCAGTCTGGCCCCTCTCTCCCCATCTGTCCCGGAACTGAGAGCAGGTTGGGGAAGAGCACTCTCGGTTCCAGAACCTCCCGAAGTCCCGGCTGAATGGAGTGGGCTGTCTGATGCGTCCGAGTTGTCTCTGTCCTCTAGGCACAGAACCCGATCCTTCCCGCTCTCTAAGGCAGAGGGGACCCGGGTGCTGTCCTCTCCTCCAAGCCCAACCTTGAAGCGACCCCTCCCCGACCTGGCCCTCAAACGCTCCACTCCGAAGCCCCAGTCTGGGCGCCCAGGACTTCTCAGCGGGGGCGCCGCGGTGCACTGTGGGAGTTGTAGTTCCCTGGCGAGTTCCGAGCCCGGGCGGTCCTGCGACGGGACTCCCGCTCCCAGAAGCCCCCGCGCGGGTGCCTCGCCCAGTCCTGCCACACCTCACCTGTTCTATGGACGTGACTGTTTCCACCGAGTCGTCTTGCAACCGCTCCCGCGCGTGCTCCGGCCTCAGACTGTACAGCGGCTCTGACCAGACAGGGGAGGAAGATGGCGGGCAATAGTAGGTGAAGGAACTCGGAGAAGCCATGACCGGCAGAGCAGCAGGCGGAGTGTAGGACTCAGCTTCGTTAAGCAACAACGCGCATTGAAACTCGAGCGGGCTAAGGCGCTACGGGGAGCGGGTAGAGTCAAAAAGATTGTGAACGCGAATCTCTCCTCCCACCTACACGTCTTCGAGGAGTGAGTTACTGAGATGCTGCCACCCCCTATTGGGAAGAGGTGCTGCTGCAAGAGTTCAGCTTCCTGGAGCGCAAAGATGTGTACATCTGAATTTCATTTCAGAGAGATGGCGTAGGATGCCTCGGTTATGCAATTAAAAAAAAAAAAAAACTTTAACATTCTGCTAATTGTAATGCAGTAGTTTGCAGTTTCAGGTGCCCAAGAACCCAATGAATGTAACTTTGAAAGCGCTTCTGACAAAGCCCCGTATTGCTTCAGCGACGCTAGTATTAATAGAATTTTTGTGCACCTTTGAGTACTTGACAGCTTCCCAAGAGAAGCTAGGAGCTTCTCAACAAACGTGCAGAATTGCTGGCTCAGTAATTCAGAGACGGAGGGAAAGGGCATTGTAACTTTCTCCTACTTCTTGGGGGTTGCAGTGCAGTAGCAAGATCTAAAATGCACTAGAAAGAACAAGTGTAAGTGAAACAAAGAAATATTCAGTCAGTTAGCCAGCAAATAATTCCGGAACATCTACATGTCAGGCATTGTGCTAGGGCCAGGCCCTAGGAATACAAAAGTGAACAAAACAAACAAGGTCCCTGCCCATAGGAACCTTACATACTAAGGAAACTGAATATATAAACACAATAAATATACGAAGACTTGTGATAAATGGTATGAAGGAAAATAACAGGGTCTGTAAGAGAGACTAAAGGGGTAGGGGACTAATTGGATTGGGTGGTCAGGCCAACCCTCTCTGAGTGATGTTTACGCTAAGACCTGAAGGATGACAAGGAGCCATCCAGATGAACATGTGGGAAAGAGCTCTTAAAGAGGAAGAAACAAGGTGGGGCGCAGTGGCTCACGCCTGTAATCCTAGCACTCTGGGAGGCTGAGGTAGAAGGATCACTTGAGCCCAGGAGTTCAAAACCAGTCCGAGCAAGTGTGAGACCGATCTCTACTAAAAATAGAAAAATTAGCCAGGCATCATGGCCCGCACCTGTAGTCCCAGCTACTCGGGAGGCTGAGACAGGAGACAGGAAGATTGTTTGAGCCCAGGAGTTTGAGATTGCTGTAAACTAGGCTGACACCATGGCACTATACTCAGGGGTAACAGAGTGAGACTCTGTCTCAAAACAAACAAACAAAAAAAAAACACAAAGAAGAAACAGCAACCTTGAGAGGACATGCCACAAATATACATATTTATGCATGTATTAATTCTGTTATTTGATCTGAAAGTGTTTAGAACAAAAGAAATTCTGTCTTTTTTTTAGAGATGAAGTTGATCACTGGGCTCCAGTGATCCTCCCACCTCAGCCTCCTGAGTAGCTGGGACTACAGGCATGCGCCACCCCACCCAGCCAGAATAAAAGACATTCTGACTGAGTGGACTGAATCATCACATACACCCCCATAAAAACAATGTTAGAGTTCTGGTTTTAGGAAAATCTTGCTGCCTTTGGACAAGCAATAGAAGAGAATTTCTTTCAGGGCATACATGGAAAGTACTATACCAAAATTATAATACTAAAAGGTTAAACTATCTGGAAGAGGGGGGGAGAAGATACAGTAATAACAGGCATTCCAGATATAGTTGGAGACAAGCTCTACTTCCTGCTCAGAGCATTTCACTCTGTTCCCACTCAATTCCACATCACACTTTCAGGATCCAGGAAATGTAGGCCAGTGTGATAATTCACAACCGACCATCCCTGTTCTCAATCTCTGGTGGTAATTAGAAGCACTCGGAAAGATTCCAAAGATGAGGCTGGGATGGCATAAAGACCTCAGGTGGGTGAGCACTGTCAGCATGCCCATCTTAGAGGCACTGTTGCCAATAGGCACCAGAATGTTACCAAATCTGGGAATAAGTGGAGTTATGTGGTTTAGGATCATGGATATGGCTGCACAGTGTGAAATGGTCTCCTTATACATCTTTCCTTTAGTTCTGTTTCCAGGGGGAAAAAATCTGATAAAGTCAGGGTCATATCTAAGGATTCAGCATTCCTGGTAAAGAGTTTCTTTGCTTAAGAGCTAGAAACATAACATTTCAATTCTAAAAATTGTGCTATTGAAAGAATAGCTGGAACAGTTTTGTAACAAAGTGTTGCATCTCTCACAGGTGCACCTTAAGCAACTGCAAATTGTATTCTAGAAATAGAAATCCATTACCGAAATTCAGTCTCCTCTGCGTCGGTATCCGAAAGATAATAGGAGCATGGCAAGAGTCTCCTGCATGATGGTGTCTGCTTAGTCAGTAAATGGTTATTGTGTACAGGGTACGTGCTTGGCACTCAGCTAAGTGCTACAGAGACAGTGGTGAAGAAGCCAGACACAGTCTCTGCCCTGATGGTTTCACAATTTACCAGAAGAAACAAACATTAAACAAGAATTACAGAATTGACTTTCATTACAGTTGGGGGAAAATGGCATGAGTCAGAAAGCACAGGGTGTTGTGACATTACGTAACAGGGGAGACCTAAGGGTAGTCTGGAAGGTCTGGAAAGACTTCTATGAGGAAATGAGTTAACTAACCCAAGGTGAGGCAGCATTCCAGGCAGAGGAAACCCAGTAATACACAAAAATCAAGTGAAACTGGTAGTAAAAACTATAAGGAGTTTGTACTCTATGGGAGCATTGAGAAAACTGTTCAGCCTTGGATCAGCGATGGCCCACAAGTTGTCCCTCCTCCAGGTTTAATAAAACCACTCATTCAAGAAGCAAAATGAACACAAATACAGGTGGTACCACAGAGAATGATGTATTTAGAGAGGAGAGTCTTAGTAATGATAATTAATAGCAACTCCAGCTTGGACTGCAGATGGTTTGGGTTTATTTTACTCAAATGCCTGATAATCTTTTCTAAATTAAACTGTAAGTCGTGTTTCTTTAAAAATAATATTAAATGTGGACAGTGCTATTTTGTACTTTCAAGAGCAAGAAAAGGAAAAAAGTAATCATCTAAAAGAACCACTAGAGGTCGCTTCTGCCCCTAGAGCAGGCTTAGAGAATAAGCTTTGAAATTGCTCACTGCATTACTCACACAAGCCTGTGTCGGAATGAATTGTTTCTTTTAATATCTTAGGAAACTATGTAATATTGCATATGGGAACATTTGGAAAATGGAAAGAACTCCTCTATCATCCCGCTAGGTAATTAATTTCCTCCCCCACATTTACGTCTCTATATCATCTGCGCCCTTCTACTCTGAGGTCTTGTGCCTCCTGCTGCCCTGGACAGAATGACTGTCCCAGCTCCTACCTAGGGCCAGCCCCTCTCCCTCCCCTTTTTGTGCCACCCAAAGACGTCACTACAGCAGTTCTCCTTTGCCTCTCCCAAAACATCAAGTTTTCCTTCTCCTTGATCATGCTGGTCACCCTCAAACATGCTATTCCTTCATTCCTGGGGGGAAAAATGTTTTTATCACGGTTGACACTCCTCTGCCTACCTCCCCACTACTCATTGGCAAAGGCCCTTGAAAGAATTGCCCCTACCAATGTCTCCAATTCCTCCCCTCCAGCGCTCTGTCTCTCTCTCTCTCTCTCTTACCCATGCTAATGCGGCTTCCCAATCAGTTCTTGTCAAGCCTCCATTAAACTCCATACTGCTAAATCCAAGGGTTCTCAGTCCTCATTTCAAGTCTTCCTACTTGATTTCGCAGCAACATTCGCACAGTTAATCAATCTCTCCTTGAAACACTTTCTTCTTGTAGCGTCTAGCACTGGTTTTCCTTCTGCTTTGCTGGCCTTTGCAATTTCTTCATATCTCTTGATACCTTAGTTTGGGAGTGCCCAGGATTCAGTCCTAAAACCTCTTCTCTGTGTATACTCACCTGTGAGCTCAGGCAGTATCAATGTTTTAAATAACACCAGCAAGTTGAAAACTCCCTATATATCTCCAACCTAGATGTCTTCTCCTGAACTCCAGAGTTTATGTCTAATGCCTATTTGCATCTCCACTTAGACCTCTAATAGGCATCTCAAACTTAATACATCCACAACAGAGCTGCTCGTCTTCCCTTCTAAACCTGTGTACTCGGCCCTCCCGATCTCAGTGATGGTAACTCCATCCTTCCAGTTGCCCCAAATACCTTGGAGCCATTCTTGATGCTTCTCTTACTCTCACTCCCCTCAAGTTCTGTTCAAAATACATCCGACATCTGATCACTGCTTACCAATTCCACTGCCAGGGTCCAAGCCACCATCATCTGTTACTTGGCTTCTTACACTAATCTTTTAACTGTTCTCCCTGTTCCCACTCTTGTCCCCCTATA